CGGTTTGAGAGATATCTGCGTTTTGGTTTGAAGAGACCGTTGATTTGTAGTCTCTTTTGCTAGAGCGTTGCAAAGATCGTCATCTTGTAATTTTCGTCTTGGCTCCTTCAAAATGTGAGAATCGTCAGATTGTAACTCCCGATGTTGATTGTGAAGGCTGTTGATTAGAGCTTTCATCAGTTGTTGCGAAGATCGTCAGATTGTAACCTTCATCGATCCACGTGAAAGTTTTCAAATTATAGTCTTCTGAAAGCCGTCAAATTGTAACTTACATCATCGGTATTTGATAGGAATCAACTATCTGCAATGATTTTTAGACAGCCTACACACACCAATTACATTTCCAAAATAAGAAGACATCTCATAATTCATTCTTGAGCACCATCAAGCACAACGCGCCATCTTGCTTTTCTTTTCAGGGTTGAATTTCATGCCTTCAAACAATTGTTTACCGAAGAAATGCGCTGAAAGCTTGCAGCTTGGAGGTTGCTTTGGAGAGAGTTAAACATGGATATGCAGCTGACTAGGCAGCAATCATTTGAATGAGAGAATGAAGAAGCAAGGGCATAGAGATTGGAATTGAAGGAGCAATAGTGGGCAGGAAAATGTTTTTGGAGAAGAGAGCGAATGAAGGAACATTTAAAAGACAGATGGGATTTGAACAGGCGAGCTGCGACCAGCAAACTAGGAACATTTAAGAGAGTAAGCATCAGCAATGTAGCCTGCAAGAGAGAGTACTGTTATTTACAGTTGTTGTATCTGATCAAAATCAAGTTTGTGCAGATATTTAAGATACCTTGAACTTAGACCATGTATATTCCATGAAGTCACTTGGGTTATTACAAAGACAAAGAATGTGAAACAACTCTAGAAGGGCTTAGTGTTATGCTCTAATACCACTTGTTGTACGCGGCGGCCAAACCGATGGGGTGCCGAGAACAAATACCAATGCCGAGAGAGAAGACCAAACAAAACAAAATAACGGCACAAACACAAACAACAAATTTTACGTGATTCGGCAAGTTGCCTACGTCCACGGGGCAAGAAGGGGATGAGTTTTCACTAATAGAGAATAAAAGTACAAATAGAGGTTACAAATCCACAAACTAATCTCTCACACAAAGCTCTCAATCTCTCAAACAAAACCCTAACCAATAGCTCCAGAAAATTCTCTTTTCATGTGCTCAAAATATTCCCAGTACTGCTCTCCAGAAATCCTAAATCGTGTTTAATTTATACCAAACTCAAAACCAAATCAGAACATGAAACTTGTTGCTCTCAGTGAGGCTCTCTCTCTTGAACCATATAACTCCCATTAGACTCATGTTAGAAACAGGGCGCAACTTAGCTTTCTCATTTGCCTGAAAGCAAGATTTACAGTGAGATACCTCTCAGTCCTATATAAATACTAGTATTCCTAGGATATGCTGAGTTTGACAATGACTTGTAGGTTAATGTGCAGAAATGAAAAACTTATTACACTAGTATGAAGGTCTTAAATGTTCTTACTTGGATGCATAATACTCCTCCATTCTTTTGTGGCATCAGCTTTTTGTTGAGGCATTGTGCAGGGTTATAAAGATTTTGTTTCTGCCAAATAAGCTTCGGTATATTTCACCGAATAATTATTACAGTAACTCCAGCTCACCTAGGATGTTCTCCCCCATTTCACCAGCACCTAAGTTCAAACGTGTGGAATTCTTTCATCTAATAAACTAAGTAAAACACACATAAAATTATCCTAAAACAAACATGTAAGAAATTCCCTCTACAAAGACTGCATACACCAAAATCCGGGTTCGGACCAAAACGACCGGGCCTCCTCCGGCAATGTCTTGGTGCATCCATCTTCTAAGCAGAACAAACCACAATCAAGCTGAAAACCCTTCGTATCGCGATGAAGAGTGAGATCCTCCAAGAAATAAATGCAATTCGACTTGCAACCATCGAGCCCGCAAACTTTAGCCGAGATGGAGTGACTGACTCCAACAAATATCGACCGATCTCCCAAACTCTCAACCTTAGTCCAACCCTGCACGCTTTCATTCAGCTTGTAAACATGGAACTTCCACGTTCTATAGCCATTAGCCGAGGAGCGTGAAAACCTCAGCACCACTAACAAGTCACCTGCTGATTCCACCAAATATTTTTGGCAGACAGAACCATTCCCCGCCAAGCCGCCTGTTGTAAGGGGGCCGCCATCGGGAGGAGCATCGATCGTGTCGGTCTTAAAGTAGTCTCGACCGACGTCAAGAACCACCAGCGGGCCGCATTCCCGTATCGCGAATAGCTTTCCTTTGTAACACGTAATGTCGACGTACCGGTTCGGTTCCGTCTCCACGTCGGTCCATTCGCCATCTCCGACCCCGCAAACGGCTAACCTCCTCCGGTTCGACACGATCGAAGCGGCAAAACACGCTCGGTTCGAACCGGGGCTGCCCGTCAGAATGACTTTTTGCATGTAGCATGACCGGTATTTTCGGTATATCCGATGCTGGTAGTCAACCATGATTGGGTGAGGCGGGAGCTGCAGTTTCGCTTTTGAGAAAGGATTAAACAGTTCAATGTTCAGGTTAGCATCCAACGTTACCAGCCAACCATTGGAAGCTCCGCAGATCCAGCGATCGTTGAGTTGGGGGAGGTTAATGCCGCACGTTACCAGCCAACCATTGGAAGCTCCGCAGATCCAGCGATCGTTGAGTTGGGGGAGGTTAATGCCGCATACTGAATCTGCGGAGAGATCGTAGAGACCTCTGACGTGGGTTCCTTCCCTGAGAGGGAGCATGAGGAGCGGGGGCCGAGAGCGAAAAGACCCGCGGACTTCCCTTGCGACTCCTTCCCTGAGAGGGAGCATGAGGAGCGGGGGCCGAGAGCGAAAAGACCCGCGGACTTCCCTTGCGACATCTCGCCACTGGGCACAGACAGACGCAAATACGCCGAGGTCACGAAAGACGAACTTTTGAGCGATATGCACCCAAACATCACGCGGCAGATTGGACCAGTCAGCAGCCATCCCTGAAAAGAAGAGCATTATTTAGGGCTTTTTCTTTTTTTTTCTCAAGAACGCGAAATTTTCCAGCGAAATAAAACAGCGCAAATTTCAGGAACTGAAGCCAACACGCTAATCTCGAGCTAGCAAAAGAGGAAAGGCGCTAAACAACACTCAAGCACATCCAAATGGAATTGTGAAAGCAGGCATATTTCTAAATCTAGATGAAATCATTATTACTGCTGCTGCAGCGAGGAAGAGCGAGGAGAGGCGCGATTTATCGTCGGGATCTAGATGAAATCATTATTACTGCTGCTGCAGCGAGGAAGAGCGAGGAGAGGCGCGATTTATCGTCGGGCAACCGGCGAGAACACCGAGGCGAAGCACGCGAGCTCCGAAGGCGGCGACAGAAGAGCGGAGAAATTTAGGGTTGGGCGTTCACATCGTGTAGCCCGGTCCATTAATAAGATGACAGGGAGGTGGTTGGTTCTGATAGGCACTTTAGTCGGGCGAGTGGCTCACAATACCGCTACGTGTTCAAAAGTAAAAACGTACATAAACTTTACTCATCAGACTGTTATTTTAAAATTGCAAATAAATAGAATTTCATTTATAGAAAAAAAAACCTCAAATTTGAGGAGAGCAGAGTTAATATAAATTACAAAATTGAAATATTTTCTACCCAGGGCATTTAGTTATTCGCAAAGGCTAAAAGGCAAATTAGGTTCTCCATACTCAAATTAGTCCCTCTACTACGTATTTTCTCAACTCGGTCCCTATACTAGGGCTTCATATTCAAATTAGCCCCCCTACTTTACATTTTCTCAACAAATTGGCTCCACTTATACTCAGATGTGTCACATTCGATGTAACCATGTCAGCTTCGGGGTGTTTTCTTCGAAAGTCATCCAAGGTTTATTGTGATTTTGAAAGTTATTAGGGGCTCAGCGTGATTTTTGAAAGTTATTGGAGGTTTAGCGTGATTTTTTAAAGTTCCTAGAGTGGTTTAATGTGATGTTAAAAGTTATTGGAAGTTTACTGTAAAACGATGAATGTTACAATAGAGGAGAACCAATTTGGGTATAAAGTCGCGATAGAGCCTATCCAATTGGGCTTGAGGCCCGGGTCGGTGCCCGGTCCTGACCCGACCGGGCCGAGGTTTGGCCTAGAAACCCGGGTCAAATCGGGTTCCGGGCCTGAGCCCGGGCCGTTTTGTCGGCGTCGAGCTCATTGAGACTACCGAGATCCCTCTCTCGCGGATTGCCGGCCCAATTGATTGGTTGGGAGTCCCAGTTATCTCACCCAAGACCGGCAAACTGGCGAACCCGACTGCGCTCAAGTTGCAGGTTATGCAAATGATCGAAGTTTTTTCTTTTGTTTTATGCTTTAGGTCTGAGTTGCTCATAGTAGGGGAAGAAATTGAATTCTGGAATTTAAATTTCGATGTTTCCCAAACGAAGAAATTGAATTTGAAATTTTAGATTTCAAATTTCAGAATTCAATTCTAGAATTTGAAATCAAATCCTCAAATCCAAACGCAACCCTATTCAAATTGGAATATTCTTAGAATGTTTCAATTTGGAGAGTGAAATTTGGAGATTTTCTCCAACCCACACTCTCTAAACATTTTTCTTTTTATTTGTTTTTTGTTAAAAAAAGCCATATAAATTAATAATGTTGAATATAGTTTACATTAATAATTTTATTTTTAATAATTTATTTGGAAAAAAATAATAACAATAGAAAGGTGTCGACGAGAGCTTTTAAAATGAACCTAATATTAATAATACAATAAAACATATTAAAAAATAAAATCTGAAATAACAAGGACAAAGCATACAACGATAAAACGAGGAAGCAAACATAAACCTCTAATACAACATACCATAGGCCCAACAATACTCGGGGCAGTAATCGAGACGTCACGGAGGCCCAACAATGATTCTCGAGGCAGTAGCCTCATATGGCTTATGGATATGACATGTTTTTTTTGGATTACTAGGATGTAATAATGATATTAACGTATTTGCAATCTTCAAATTTGTTTGACCAACTAGCACAAGGTATTTCCTCTCTTGTTAATTATAGTATTTTGGGAAAGAATTATGATACAGGTTATTGCTTGGCCGATTGGATATACCATAAATGGTCTACTCTTGTACAAACAATACCCCAACCACAAGGGCCTAAGAAGCAGCTCTTTGCTACTATGCAAGAAGGATATCGAAAAGATGTAGAGAGGGATTTTGGTGTTCTTCAGTCACGATTTGCCATTATCAAGAGACCATCACGTTCTTGGGACAAGCGGGGACTACACGACATAATGACTGCTTGTATTATACTACATAACATGACTATGGATGATGAACACGATGCAGAACCAGAGATTATTGTTCATGATGAATCTTCAAGACCTGAAGAGATGGAGATTGATGATGACGAACGATTCCTTGATCGACATAGGAAGATTCAAGATAGGGAAGCTCATTTTATGTTTCAGAATGCGCTAATTGAACATTTATGGCAGAGGCATGACAACGAAGGAATGTAATTTAAATATTATAATTTATGCTTGTATTTTATTATGGGGCAAGTTAAATAAATCCTTGTACTTAAATTTTCATGTCTAATACTTATTTATTTAATTTAAAAAATAATAATTTTATAATAATGCTAAAATAAATTAATCTTAAATTTACTTTGAAGATCTCGACGAGACCTTTCCAAATATATAATTATTTTGAAAATTAGATTAATAATTTTTAACTATATTTATTTGAAATTAAACATCTAATATAAATTACTAAGAATGATGATAAAGTGGTAATTTTTAAGAAATTAAATAGTTAAAAGTGAAAGTTATAAATAATAAAAGTTTAAATAGTAATTTGGAGAGCCTCTCCAAATTATAGCTTCAATCTTCAAATTTGGAGAGTGAATCATCTCCAGATCTCCAAATTTGGAGAGTGATAGAGATGATTCACTCTCCAAATTTGGAGGGATGGAAATTTTGCCGAGTGATTGGAGATGCTCTTAGTTGGATGAGTGGGAGATTAATTTCACAATACCTCTATGTGTCCAAAATTTAAAACGTATATAAACTTTACTCATCAGACTGTTATTTTAAATTTGCAAATAAATAAAAATCATTTATAGGAAAAAAAAACTCAAATTTTAGGAGAGCAAAGTAAATATAAATTACAAAATTGAAATACTTTCTACCTAGGGCATTTAGTTATTCGGAAAGGCTAAAAGGCCAATTAGGTCCTCCATACTCAAATTGGTCCCTCTACTATATATTTGTTAGCGTCTGTGGCTAAACCTGTAATAAAATAGTGAGAACTAAAATGCTGTAATTTAAAACTTTTTTCAAGTTTAGCTGTTGTGCGTTTATGAAACGCTGTGCTTAAAGCAATATTTGACCTACTCCGGTGTAAGGATCCCAAGGCCAAACTGCTTTCAGGAACAACAGTACAATACTCTGGTGTGCATCGACCCAATACTGTTAAGATCTCCTCTGACCTTTCGATCAAGGTAAAGATATCCTCGATCTGTTAAAACCTTTCGGTTCAATAACCTTTCGGTTCAGGCAGAGATCTCCTCAGCCTGTTAAAATCTTTTGGTTCAATAACCTTTGAGTCCTAGAGTGGTTTAATGTGATGTTAAAAGTTATTGGAAGTTTACTGCAAAACACTGAAAGTTACAATAAAGTAGAAGCAATTTGGGTATGAAGCGCCGATAGAGGGGCTACATTTATCAAAAATAAAGTAAGGGGACCCATTTGAGGATGAAGCCTCTACACAGGACCAAGTTGAGGAAAATAAAGTTTGGTTTTCAAATCATTCATAAAGTACGCTGCCACATATGGACTAACTATAATGAACTAGGAGAACACTGTATGTTTGTGCTTGTGTTCGTCTTTCATAAATAAAGATAAATTTATTAGTACACTTATGAATGTCTGAATTTTGGGAGAGACAGATGTTTGATAATATGAGAGTGGGTGAATGCAATAAAAAAAAAGCATTTGGGCAATGCCCAGTGGGTTCCATTGAGAAAACTAAGAGAGAAGGAAGGATTTTTTAGGAAGAAAACACATAGTGCCCATATTAACGTCACCGTGAGTATGTGACATTGTCAAAATAATGACTTATGGAGCTTTGTCGTGAAAATTAGGCTGGGGGTTGAAAACTACGTTGTTCTTAAAGTCTCTCTAACCATTACACTAGAAATTTAAAGTTGCGATAAGAGTTGAGATTTATATTTTCATGTTATAACATGTCCGCGCAATTTGAGCGTCCTTTTTCTAGGCTGAAAATATGACTCACATAACGACATCAATTTTTTAAATATATGTTTTAAAGTTATGCATGGCTGCTAGAACTCAGATGAATGTTGATCTGATACCATCTTGAAATCCTAACCGTTATATCAAAACTCTGAATTTATGATGAGAGTTGAGGTTTATATTTTTATTTTCTAGCAGTTGTTGGAAATGTAATAATAATTTTCAATCTTTATCACCTTTAGTGTAAACTAAACTCATGTAAATTTGTCTGATGGAGAAATTAGTGATCATTATTATCAACTGCTACTACTGTCTTGTAGTGAAAACGCTGGAACTGCCTGAAACTAGCTTTATTTTGTGTATTTTCCGGCAGGCCTCCTTCTTTCTCTTGGATGAGTAAAATTGTTGTTTTCTTGTGTTAGATTAAGGGAGGGGGTCAGCTTGCAAGAACTGTAAATCTGTAATGTATTATTTCTATTTATTTTTGAGGAAGGGTTTTATATTCAAACAGTTTTTGCGAACTTTACTTCACAGGTGTTGATATCTTTTTGCTTGCGTGCATCTATGCATTGCTTGGATGTCCTCTTTCATATGCGCTCTGGTATAGACTTCTATGTTCTGCTACGAGGTAATTTCTTTAGGGAAAAATGCTTCCAGCCCCTAAAAGTCAAGGAAACGTGCTTCTCACCCTCAAGACTTTGTTAATGGGTGCTTTACCCCCAAAAGTAAAGATTCTGTTCTCTGAGCCCTCAAAACACAAAACCCAAGAGATTAAAATATGTGAAAACCATAATACCCTTCTCTCTCTCTTTCTTTTTTTATTAAAATATGATGAGGATTATTTTATTATTTTCGTTTTCTCTCTCTCTTTATCATGATGTACTAAGATGATAGTTGAAATGATTGATGAGGATTATTTTATTATTTTTGTTTTTTATTATTTTCGTTGTTTGTATTGGGAGATTGTTAAAGTTACGGGTTAATTGTTAATGTTACTAGTTAATTGTTAATGTTACGGGTCAATTGTTAAGGTTATGAATCCAATTTTTACTAGTGCTCTCTCTCTCTCTATCATGATGTTACTTTGATGATATTGAAATGATTGAAGAGGATTATTATTTTATTATTTTTGTTTTTTATTCTTTTCGTATTTTTAGAATATTCGTTGTTAAGGATAATGGTTGGTTGTAAAGGTTATGCATTGATTGTTAAGGTTACGGGTTGGTTGTTAAAGTTACGGGTTTGTTGTTAAGGTTATGAGTTTGTTGTGTAGGTTACGGATTTGTTGTTAATGTTACGGGTTTAATTGTTAAGGTTACGGGTTTAATTGTTAAGGTTACGTGTTTAATTGTTAAGGTTATTGGTTTAATTGTTACGATTACGGTTTAATTATTAAGGTTACGGGTATAATTATTACGGTTATGGCTGTGCTGTTTGGTATCTATGGCAAGAGCGCAATTGTCGCATCTTCTTTAAAAAAGAAATTAACAAAACAGAGCTGGTAAAACAGATCGCCAACACAGTGTTGATCAGACTTTCCGCTCTGAGGCTCAAGGACGCTAATGATGTCCCCATTCTCTGCACTGCAATACAGTGAATGGGGACTGCCCATTTCTCCCGCATGAGTCGGTGGCCAAGACTTGCTCATGGATGAAACCAAAAAATACTGGTCTTTCATTCGATCTCGGAAGTTGTTGATTAGACCACAAATGCGTCACTTTAAGAAGGAGAAAGTGTTAAGTGCTCTTTCGCCCCGTCTTCCTTTCTTTTCTCCCTAAAATTACTAAGTTCAGGCTCGCTTTCCTATAGTTTTTTTTTTCTCTTAGGCCGGATACGACATTCCCAACACTCATCCCGATGTTTGTTGTGAATTAAAGTGACCGGGAAGGTTGTTTTCTCTCACCCGGCTCGTGCAGTTAGCCCTTTGAATGATTAGTTTACCTTATCGTCCTTATTTCTGGGATTTCTAATGTCGAGACTTAGTTTGACAGGAAGTAGGGACCAACATCTAACGTTTTGAATCTGAATAGGCACTAAGGCCACGTTCTGTTTATTTCGTTGTCAAAGACAAACTGGAAGACGGCTACTCAACTTTAGTAGGGAAAACGGAAGCTGGCCCCCTCATCATCTGCGTATCAATCAGTCCCAGTTTCAAGAATTGGAGTGAAGGAAGGGAAGCTAAGAGAAAAGCAAGCAAGCTCCCCAGTGGCATCCTCATCGGCTTCAAAACTTTATTTAATGGAGGTTTAGTTGAAGGGAAAGAGGGAGAAAGCTATGCCTTGGATGATAAATATTCGTAGAAGGGGAAGACTGACCTTTGTCAAGAGACACGGCTCTTGCTCTTGGTAGGGCATAATCCCTAACCGACGACTTCTACTCCCTAGTAGACACAGGAATCCTTTTTTATTTCCTCCTGTGGAACCGAAGCTATGACTGCCGCCTAGATCGGGAGCTTTGCTTTCTCTCATTCGGCTTTTTCCAGAGATGGATTGCGCTTGGGAGCTTGCTTGATAGTGAAAAGCGTTTCCCCGCCATAATCTATCGATTTTGCTTTTGTTTTTCGGATGTCCTATCTGTTCTGTCTGTATGCCCTATCGGATGACTTTCTTGCCAGCATGCAACATTCTCCGGCAATGGGCCAGGGGAATTCTCTGAAAAACTACAGACAGGGCGCTAACGGGAGCGAAGAAAACGTTAGGATCGACGGGCTGGTCGAGCTCTTTTGCTTTAAATAAAAGCGATACCGTACTCGAATAGAGGCTCCTGCGCTATACGGCTTCACTTTACTACGCCCAAGCTCTTGCTGGAAGCGAAGGACAAAGTCTGTAAGGAGGAGGTCTTTCTAACCGGAGAGTCGTAAGCCAAGGAACTAGTCAAACACGACATCCATGACACTCGTTCTTCTCTAAAGGAAGCACTTCGTTCCACTAACTGAAGGAAACTTGAGGCGACCGGAGGGAGGGTTACTAGTTCTGTCCTTAAGAAAAGATCATTATCTGAGAGTTAGCTCATCAAGTCAGGCAGGGTATTCTCCATTCCTCAGTTTAGGAAGTCCTTGACTCGGCCAGCATTAGTGGGCGAAAAACATGGTATTCCGCTAGTCAGGCTGGGAAGAGGTAGTTATTAGCGGTAATTCTTAGCGGAGGTATTCTCCTTGACTAGGTTTAGGAAATCTGATCTACTCTAACCGGCCCTCATCAGCCAGTTCGAAGCAAGATATCAATTATTAGGACACTAAACCCACCTTAACTGACTTACAGAGG